AACAAGGCGAATCAAAGATGCACCGTGCTGAATAGTGAGCTGCCTGCTATGTGTTCTTCTTTTAGGATATGCATACACACATATACAGTCATTTCAAAAGAAACATGGGAAGGATTAACACAGACTTGAACGCTCAAAACACCCTTACTTAGCCATATGGAAACTGTTTAATTGACTTTTAAGCACTTTTTTCTTTCTTGTGTTCAAAACCAGCTGCCTATGAAGAACAAAGAGGAGTGACTGTGAGATGTGTTCAGACAAACTGACAGTAGTTGTTGTGCTTTGGGACATCAGACATGTTGGTGACTGTCGTGATATCAAGTTGTCCTCAGTTCCTCTGCTAAGCTCAGAAGCTGGTGTTGATCAAGCGTTTCTGGTAGTGTGTCACATCTAGACATGGACATCAGTTCAAACAAACACACACACTGACACTCACATGCACATGAAAGCATAGACATAAGACATATAGAAGAACAGTTTCTGATACAGGCACAAATAACAATGTGGATACAAATGTCATAATTGTACGGACAAACTTTATATTACTTCTTATTACTTTATACAGCACACACACAGTAGTTTTCATTGCCTTGATCAGCTCAAACAAACACAGGGATGATAACATATCTGGACAGCAGTGGCCTGTGAGAGGTGCATTAGCACCTCTCACAGATAAGGCTTCCACACATACTGTACACACACTTGGAGTAACAACACACACACATCCAGGGTAGTGATAAGGCATTACTTACAATACTTTTTGAACAGATGTGAGGAGGGCCAGAAACGATAAACAGTGGTATCCTGAGGGATATGTTAATAACACCACGCACAAGAGCAACCACAAGTTTTATAGTGTAGATTACTATTTGAACGAGTACCAGAGAGATACAGAGAGTGACACACTGTGAGAACAAGAGAGCGCTAGCAGAGCGAGGGAGGGAGGAATAAGCCGAAGCGAAAGAGGGAGCACCAGGAGAGGCTCGCAGAGTGAGAGAGCGCGCAATGACATTAAGTGTGAAATATTTTGAGGAGATGAAAAAGCAAGTAAATATTCTGGAGAGAGACGAGAAAAAGCAAGTGAATTTCTCAGTCCACTGTGAGTGTCTGGTTTGGATATACGCCCATTTGTCTCACTTTAGACACTGAAGAATTCTCTTCCTGTGTGTGTCTCTCTCCACATTTCTCCTTCTGTCGCTCTGCATTTTAACGGTGGAAATAATTCATCTGTATTCAGTCTCCTTCTGTCCTTCACAACAGTCTGCACTCCTGTCTCACATGCAGACACGCAGAAACAAACGTAAACACAAATGCACACACAAGTCCTGCGTTTGACACAAGCCAGACAGAATAATTAAAGTCAATTTATGCAAGTGTCTCTGTGTCTCATCACCTATGATTGGTGGAAACAAGACATTGCCTCATTGGGTCTGTCCCCATCACAGTGAACATAACGCAGTGAACGCATTTAGCCCAGCTGATGGTAATAATTATAGCCATAATAGATGTTCTGACTTTTTTACACATGGTTGTGCTTTTATACTTCAATGTTAGGAATATCCTGCCATGGTTTGATGTCTGCGGAGATGTTTTTTCTTTCAAATACAACTGCATGGAAATACCTTGTCACATTCAAATATTACATAAAAAATGTTAAAGGTCCAATGACATGGCCATTTCCACTGATCATAATTCCATTGTTGAGGTCTACTAGAATAGATTTACATTGTTCAATGTTCCAAAATCACATTGGTTTCTCATACAGCATCTCTGTATAGTATGTGTATTCACTCTCTGTCCTAAACGGCTTGTTTGGAGCTCCTGCCCCTCCCCCCCCCCTCCCTATGAGCACACTGTGCTCTGATTGGTCAGCTCGCCCACTCTGTTCTGATGAGTCCACCACCGTTACATCAGTGTTTATGTGTTACAATGGCGTTTGTTAGCAACCAGAAAATGACACCAGTAATGACAAACAGATGAGAATGCTGCTTGGGGTCTGGGTGCCGTGTTGGCGGGACTTTGCGCGGCTCGCTGGTGTGAGGGGGGGACAGTGTGACGCGGCACACCTACAGTGTAAGCGCGTCACAGTTTTGCCGCTGAGAGAGTGAAATGGACCAATGGGTCCATTTCGTTATGGTCACATCACTGTACCCAGGAAGAGAAAGAGAAATCTCCAACGAGGCGTTCTGGGGCAGCATAGACAGGTCTTTTCTGTGTTAGAGTTTTACTCGCTAGAGGGTGTACTTTGAGGGTTTGTGACTTTGCAGACGGTTTACATGCATACAGTAAAAAGCTACATAGCACACAAGGGGACGGGTAATAACCGGAAAAGCATGACATGGGACCTTTAACTTATAAGGTGACAGGGAAATGTCCTGAAAATAGAAGTAGAATGTGGTCTAACAACTGTAATCATGTTGGATAGCTTGGAGTGCTGTATTGAAGAATCTAACAAAATGCTCTCTTGTCTCTTTCTTTCTTTTTCCCTTTCTCTCTCCGATTCCTGTTTGACTCCATGTCTGCCCCTTTCCTGCTGATTCATCCTCAGGTAAGGATATTTCCCACAATAAAAGCTGATGAGTCACGTCTGATACAGATATAGCAATATAGAAATCTCCCTTTGCACATCATGCAGCAAACCAACATTAGTTTTATTTAGAAAATGATCGGTTCTGTTGCAGCATATACCCCGGCTAATAAATCTATAATGAATGAAAGGATAGAGGGTATTTTAAACTAAATGTAAACAATACAAATGGTACAATGACGTAGTTTGGATTGCTGGTGTACTATATGCATGTGAAAACCTACCCAAAATATTGTATTTATTTCCCTTTCCAAACAAAGGGTTTCCATTCATTACGTAGATTGTAGTAGCCTTCCATTGTCTAATTACTGCCACAAATGAACTGAGCATACTTAATACACCACTCAACTGATGGGTTGTACTCATCAGCTATACATGTTTGCTGTAAAGTTTCTCTATGTTTTTTGTCTGCTTTTAATATAACTGATGAAACAGAACATATATTGCATGCCATGCATCCCCCTATATTATATAACCAGACTTTATGTCACTCATATCTTGGTCCCACCAAAGCCAAATTCCTATTAGTCCTGGCCGTGATGGTGGCACAGTGTTGTATCTTGTTAGATGACAGCGATGGGGTGATAAAGTTTTCTGATTCTCAGAGAAATGGCTTTGGACAGGAACAGTGGTTCTCGATCTCCAATCCCCCCAGGGTGCGTTAAGTTTTTGTTCCAGCTTATCCCTCCATCTAGTCGACTCAATTGTGCTGTTCAGTGAACAGTGAAATGGACTTAGCAGCTCCTCAGTACTGTCAGGTGTGTTTGTTCTCTGAAATAAATGAACAGATGGCTCACAGTGTGTGTGTGTGTGTGTGTGTGTGTGTGTGTGTGTGTGTGTGTGTGTGTGTGTGTGTGTGTGTGTGTGTGTGTGTGTGTGTGTGTGTGTGTGTGTGTGACGCACGTACCGGAGAGAAGCACCGCTCATCATCAAAAAAAAAAACCCCAAAAAACCCCCCTTTTTAAAAATTTAGAACCCAACCCCCCCAGGGGCCGGCCCTTCGTTGGCGACGGGCGCCCGCCGCAGAGCAGAAAAGGTCAAAGCGTTGTTTGTAGTGGTGTAGGTGTGTTGGTGCAGAGCGGGGCGGGTGGGATGAGGTGTGAATAAAGGTGAAAGATAAGGATCACACCTCGTCGAACCATAAGCGCGTGCACGTCCCCAAGGCTGGAGACCCGACTAAAAACTCATATAAACTTACTTTTTCACAACACCTCTCCTCCTAATATCCCCTCCTATCCCTCTTTCTACGTTCTCTCTCCGGCTGTTGTCTCCAAGTCGACATTACACCCAACTGTATTTCGGTGCGCGAGGGATGCGAACGCCGAGGGGGGGAAGGGATAGCACACGTTTCTTGTCTCTTTTAAAAGGGGGTGTTTTTATTTTTATATATGCCTTTAAACAAAGTGTACTATTGTGTAATTAAACCGACTACTCTCTGTTAAGTATTTAATAGAAGGAAGCGAAAGAAGATAAGTGAAGTGTAATAAAAGTCTCATTACTTACTACGGAGTAGACAGAGAAACATTTCTGTGAAAGGAGTTGAGGGGGGAGGGGCAGAATGGAGTTTGGTATGTAGAGCGGGGAGAGACATTTTTGACATGTCTGTTAGTCAGTAATATGTAGAACGAAGAAAGAAAGATTTTCATAACATACACGGTGACTAATTAGTATATAACTTAGGAACACGGTTAAAATTAACAAGTTTTTTATTAAAAGTAGTGGGTCAAAAACATACATGAAGAAAAAATAGTCAGAAACCTAACGGACAAAAGGAACAATAAAAAGACGGATACACAGGTAGGAGGAAGTTTAGGAGGATTGTTATCTGACTTTTGGACGAAAAATCAAGGTTAAGAGGGAGACACGGCGAGACAGAAGTCTATGTTTGGTACGAGGTTCTCATAAAGGAAATTTTTTTTTTTTAGTAGAGAAACGTAAGGAAGACAATACGGTTAAGAGCTTTAGGTTTGTAGTTTCATACCGTTTGGCGTCCTACGGGGTGTAATGGAACTGGTAGACCGAATTTACGTTGTTTTTTTGAGTCGTGTGCCAAGTGTCTAAAAAGTTACGTACACCCGTGTGTGTCGTGTGTTGTCGTGTGTGTGTGTGTGTGTGTGTGTGGTGTGTGGGTGTGTGTGTGTGTGTGTTGTTGTGTGTGTGTTGTGTGTTGTGGTTGNAAATGATTGATTAATTAATTTGAATAAAAATTCAAGTTAGTAGCTATTATGAAACATTTCTATTAAAGAAAGAATTATACATTTCTGTCTTTTTATGCCTATAATAGCTACTAACTTGAATTTTTATTCAAATTAATTAATCAATCATTTGTTATGTTTTATTGTAATGTAGAGACAAGGCTTTTAGTGACAATCATGTATTGCCTTACAATTATATGTAAAAATAAATAAAAAAGTCAAAATATGATATTTTGCCTCAAATCATCTGAGGCCTGGCGCCCCCCCTGCGATCTTTGGCGCGCCCCCCAGGTGGGAACCACTGCGCTAGAGGAAAGGTCAGAGAATCCGTCATTAGGGGTTATCCTCCAGTCTTTACAACATTTCATGGCAATCCATATAATAGTTTTTAAGATATTTCAGTCTGGACCTAAGTGAGGGACAAAATGTTACTTGTTTGGATCCATAATTAAACATTTTTCGGGGGGGGAAAAGGTGCAACAAGCAGTGTAAATTAAAGTTACGTAAAACAGGAATTACAATCCTTGTGAAATATATTGTTAAAGTCTTTGTGGTGTGGCTTAAAGATCCTCGTAAAAGCTAGTGACTGTGAATCTATTAAGTGCGTTTGTTAGCTGGTCACAGTGTTAGCCAAGTTAATGTTAACATATATGTGCCCTTCTCCGCTGTCAGCAGGGTTAGTCATTACACTGCTAACAGAGCTCAAATACTACCAAGAGTGTGAGTATCTGCAGGAACAGGAGGACCCTGAGCTTAAGCTTGAATATTTAAATCAAAAACGAGATGCGTTAGCCCTTGTATGATTCATAAAGCTAAAGGACTAGCGTGTTTGTATCAGTGACACACACACACACACACACACACACACACACACACACACACACACACACACACACACACACACACACACACACACACACACACACACACACACACACACTCTCTCTTACAAGTTCTTTTGCAGCCAGTCGAGGTAACCTCTGACCGCTTTCTTCCCTACTTCAAACTCCATCGGCCAGGTAATAAAGCTGAAACACCCGTGGAAGCCGTGCAAGTAGTGGTCGACGGTTACCGTGACACCCGAGTCCTGTAAGCGCCGTGCGTACATCAAACCGTCATCCCTCAACACGTCATGCTCGCATGTCAGGATGTACGCTCGGGGGCTTTTAGCCAGAACCTCGGGTCCTGCTAACAGAGGAGAGGCCCTCACATCCAGGAGCCCCGGCACCTCCCTCGCCCCCCCCTGGGAACCTTTCTCTACAATCACATGCTTGTAGTTCTTCTTGTCTTTCGGGGACAGAAGGACGGTCCAGTCTACGCGCGCCCGCAGCTCTGGGGTGATGTTTGAGTGCTGTAAGGAGCTGTGGTTGTTCGCCAGCAGCTGGGGCAGCAGGGAGAGGTCGGCACCGAAGTACTGCAGCCAGAAGCGGACCATGATGGGCCGGTGGAGGATGGGAATGTGTTGGTTCTGCAGGTAGGAGGGCGTGTTGAAGTCCAGAGCCTGGAGCACGGGGTAGATCAACGCCTGGACGCTGAATTTCACACTCATAGTGTCATCGGTGGAAATCTGGGAAAATGCAAGAAACACAAGGCCTCAATCTCTCAATACTGACAGAACGTTACTTTACTCAATCCTAGTTAATGGTTTTACAAATAAAAACACATGATATGCTTACATAGGATGCAGCACTGTAGTACTGAAGTACCCAGTATTTTAAAAAGAAACTAAAATTGGCCTCGAAGTGATAAACTACAACATCAGAATGCTCTTAAAAAAAATGTCACGCAATAAAAACAGGATCGAATAATGTACTGTGAAAAGTGCTGTTTTGCCTTTTGAGTACTTTTACCTTTGATATTTCAAGTCAATTTAGCGGATAACCCTTTTACTTTTACTTCAGAAATGTTTCGTATTTAGAAATGTACCTATCATGGAGAATGGAGAAGTATTTCTACTTTTCATGAAGTAAAGGATCTGAGGACTTCCTCCACCTCTTACACACATTTTCACAGGAGATCTGGACCGTACCTCCTGAGCGACCGCAGCAGCCAGGTTTCCTCCGGCACTGTCCCCGGACACAGCGATACGCTCCGGGTCGATGGCATACCTGGCCTGAACCTCTGCAGACAGGAAGTGTTTGGCCGCAGCGAGGCAGTCTAGATAAGGCACCGGGAAGTTCACCTCTGGATACAGACGATACCTACACAGACAATGGTTGCAAATTACAAGTTACTGGAAGCATAGGAGACTTTAGAGAATATGATTATATAGAATCTTTCTGTAGTTATGGGGTTGTCATAATTTCTACAGTGTGAGTTAACATAACAAGTGTGTTTCTTTCTCTATGAGCAGAAACAAATTGTACACTTACTCAACAGAGACCACAACTGTGTTCAGCTCGTCCGACAACATCCGGTTGATCACATCATACGACCCCTTCTCTGAGGATGTGATAGAAAGATGGGGAAAGGAACAAAAAAATCGTTGCTGAAATATGCATTTTTAAAAAAAAGATTTACAGCAAGGCACAACGTCAAAAGTTACTACACGGACTCATTTTGTGAAATGTAGACATCTAGAAATGTCACTCAAGGCAGAACATTTTACATAAAACAAGTCAAGTCTGAGGAGCTTGTTATTGCATTTATAAAAACAGAACTCGCCTTTTGCCAACTTTAAACAGAGATAACAGTTTAAACCATCACCACCATTTGTAGAGCCGAAACATCTAAGGAAATACTTCTTCTGTCTTTTTCTGTTTCAATTTCCTCTATTTGCCCTGAAAGGCCAGAGGAATGTCCAAACTCACTGGTAGTGCCGAGGGCCCAGCCTCCTCCGTGGATAAACATCAGCCCTCTCCTCAGATGACCCTCCCCTCCAGCCGGGGGCTCGTACACACGGACGGGGACGCCGGCGAAAGTGATGTCGCAGACTTTAACCCCCGGCATGACCCCTCCTTCGGACTGAGAGCTGCACAGCCCCTGCATAATGTCGTCAAAATCTTCTGTCGATTGCCTGAGGAACTGGATGTAATGATCAAAGCCTAGCCAAGCTTTCAATGAGGCCTGAGGAACGAGAAGACATTTAAAGAGGACATGTTATGATAATGTTCAGGTATCAGATTTGTGTCTCTACTGTGACATGTTTACATGCTTTAATGTTCAAAAAGGTATTTATTTTTCTCATACTGCCTGAGCTGCAGCACCTTTTTTGACCCTCTGTGGGAAACCAGAGCCCATCTCTAATTCAACCGCTTAGAGATGTCCCGCCCCTTAGCCTATCACGTACAAATGTTCGAGCTCTAACCAATAGAGAACCGCAGTGACGCGTCTTAAAACCCGGAAGTAAGTTAGCATTTTTACCATTTCCGGTTTCTTCGACAAAAAGGAATGCAATTTCTCCGTAGGATTTTGGAAAATATCTGGAAATAAGGTCTGTGTTTGACACAAATTGAAGAGACAGATCACGTCTTGTTCTATGACATTAAATACATCAGCAGTGACCCCACTGGTGATTCTTGACGAGTTTACGCGTCTGAAAAACGATGGTTGTTACCAAGTGGCTGAATAGGACTACAGAAGTGGTTGAGGCCGTTTTACGTCATTACAACGAACACGTAAACACTCCCGCTAAGTTTGTTTTTCCCCGTGTTCTGCTTGAAAGCAAGTCCCTGCCTCCTGCAAACTGTTCAAACGAACGCTTCAACTTGTACACTTTTGAATCTGTATGTTTGAATATGGATCTTAAGTTGGCTTGACGTTGAAGCAGTAGTTCATTTATAGCATAACGTTAGCATTTTGCTTC